TAAGAGTGTTCACTGTGCTGGGCGGTGGTGGCGCACACCTTTAATCTCAGCACTTGGAAGGCAGGGGCAGGAGGATCTCTATGAATTTGAGTCCAGCCTGGTCTACAGAGTGAGTTCCAGGACAGCCAGGACCACTTCACAGAGAAACTTTGTCTCAAAAAAACAAATAAACAAAAAGACTGTGTACTGCTCTTGCATAGGACTTGAGGTCAGCTCCTGAAAACCCACATTGGAGAGTTCACATCTGCCTGTAACTCCAGCTCCAGGGACAACACCCTCTTCTGGACTTGGCAGACACCTGCTCTCATGTGCATGCACGCACACACATATACACACAAAATGTCTTTTTTTTTTTTTTAGTTTTTCAAGTGTAGCTCTGGCTGTCCTGGAACTCAATCTGTAGATCGGGCTGGCCTCAAGCTCAGAGAGATCCACCTGCCTTTTCCTCGGGATCAAAGTACTAGGATCAAAGGTGTGCGCCACCATCACCCAGCAAATCTTTTTTCAAAGCCGTTCTTCGAGTTGGAATTTATACCTGGCTCCTCCATGCTGTTTGTCGGGTATCCTACCCCAGACTAAATCACATGGCATAAAACTTCCTGCCAGCACCCCAAAATGTATGAAAGCCACCTATTTCCTTTGTTCAGAGGATTGATCCCCAAGGCTCCTCTGACCTCTCCCTGGCTCTCTCAGTCTCACAGTCTGTGAAGTGTCTGTCCGTGTCTTAAAGGGAAGCCTTTCCTTCCTTCTATGCTGGTTTTGATATATTCCTGCAGGGTTTCTCTGTATAGCCCTGACTGTCCTGGATTCACTCTGTAGACCAGGCTGGCATCGAACTCACAGAGATCCACCTGCCTCTGCCTCCTGAGTGCTGGGATTGAAAGTGTGCACCACCACCGCCCGGCTTCTTGTCCCTTCCTACTGTGCCAGCTCAAGGCCTGATCCCGGCCTTAAGACCTTTTCTCCTAATAAACCTCATTCCTGAAGGGTAAGGAGAGCTGTGAACGTGGAGTGGAGCTGATCCTAGAGAGACTGCCTATGCCAGAGGTGTCAAAACTGGATCGGCAGGCTGCCCCCGGCTGCTGGGGCCCCGCTGATGCCACCCCCAGATCCAGGACCAGTTGCAGGCTTTGGCCTAAGCTGTTCATGTCTTCAATCCCTTTCTGAATGGGAATATTTCCTCTGCCACTGCATGTTGGAAATACATCATTTTTCTTTCTTTCTTTCTTTCTTTCTTTCTTTCTTTCTTTCTTTCTTTCTGTTCTTTTTAATTTTCAGAAACTCATAGCTAAGAGATTGCCTTGAGTATTAGAAGAGACATCTAACTTCATCAAACACTGTCACAGTGGTGTAAGTCCCTCAGACCATGCCCTTTAGGTCAAGACAGGGGAAGCTATCTGCAGTGAGGCCTGGAGGCAGGGTACAGAGAGATAGATGCTCAGGAGACACACAGGGAGGAGCCAGCCCTACCTTAGGGACCTTCTGGCTCCTTTCTTACAGCTAACATTTCTGCAGTCGTTAGTGTGGGGGAACCAGACGCTTCCACAATGTCTCTACAGATGAAGCCAACCAGCAATGTGGCCCTAAGTTCATTGTCTCTGTTTGGGAAGCGGGGCATAAGGATCTGAAGTCTGGTGAGGACCCATGCAATGGTGAGTTTTATGTCAACTTGGCACAAGTTAGAGTCATTTTTAAAAGAGGAAACCTCAATGAGGAAATGTCCCCACCAGACTGACCTGTGGACAGTCCTCTGGCACATTTTCATGACTGATGTGGGAGGGACCAGCTTGCTATGGCAATGCTATCCCTGGGCAGGTGGTCCTGGATGCTATAGGAAAGCAGGTTGAGCAAGCCATGAGGAGCAGGTCAGTAAGCAGCATCCCTTCACGGCCTCTGCATCAGCTCCTGCCTCCAAGTTCCTGCCCTGACTTCCCGCAGTGATGGGCTGTGATATGGAACTGTAAGCTGAAATAAACCCTTTCCTCCCCAAGTTGCTTTTGGTCAGGGTGTGTTATCATCATAATAGAAAGCCTAACTAAGACAGCCTGGGTCAAAATCAAAAGGGCTGTGGATATAGCTCTGTGGTAGAGCACTTGCCTAGAATGAATAGGTCTTGGATTCCATTCCCAGTACCAATAGTAAACAATAAATAAAGCTTTGCCAACACACACACACACACACACACACACACACACACACACACACACACAACCTAAGCTGGTTTACTTCCTCGGGCCATGAGATGTGTTTCTGGAATATTTAAGTCAACAGAATAATGCCTGAACAATGAGGTGTTGCATTAAAAATGTCCCTGGTTTTCTTCTAGGAAGAAGATGGCATTAGGAAAATGAGCCTTGTATGGTGCTATTTTATGCCCAGAAGGTCACAGTTAAAAGCTGCCATTATAAAATATGGAAAATTCCTAGCCTTGAGCTAGTCAAGGGGGAAAGGGAACACCACCAGATCCTCATTCCCAAATTTTAACTGAGAACACCCAGCGTGAGCAGTGCGGCTGAGCTAGGGGTCTAGCAGGTGACACCTGACAGTTAACAAGCAAACTTAATAAAAGTTGCCCCTTCTGAGAGGGAGGTAGCCAGGAGGAGCCGCAGCAACACCAAGCCTGCTAGGCTGGGTGTGGCGCCTGTGTCAAAAGAGAAGGCTGAAGATGTTCATTCAGTCACTACAACCACCATCCGAACATAAGCCAAGCACTGCGCCAAGCTGTGTGCTTAGACAAAGAGCTAACAGAGGGGCGGAGCTAGGAAGGATAGAGGGAGAGAGCATGCGCCATACAGACCAAGCCTACATCTTGGCTAACTTCAGTCTAAGGGGGCAAACACTGTGGAGTCCACAGAATGGTCAAAACACAAAGGCGCAGCTACATTCAAATTAAAGGTTAGGAAATGAACTGTGGTTTCCTTTGGCTCTTTATAAAAGAAGTAAGTCCAGGAAGCATTAAGTAGTTGGCACTTCTTGCTGGTTATCCAGCAGCACTTCCATTATGGTGTGTGAGGGTTTAGCAGTTTGGTATTCCTGTGGTCTATCCAGTCTCTCCATGCAGAGGATTTTACAGGGCCTACAGAACAGCCTTTAAATTCAGGCATCATTGGATTTGAGGCCCAATCAGTTCAGGACAAGATCCAGGAAAACTGATTTTCTTCTCAGAATAAAGTTTCACAGCTTTTCTGGTTAAAAAAAAAAAAGTCTCTCCTGTCACAGACTTACGGATCTATAAGCTAGCTGGGTGATGACAGGGTAAAGAAACTCACAAAAAATGCCAAGTGCACAGCACTGTTCAAGTCTAAAACCCAGAACTGCAGAGAAACGGCGCTGTGAGCCTTTGTTCCTGGCCCAAGCGTTCTGACCCGTGTCCTGCTTTTTTTTCCTGCTATTCTCAGTCTCCCAGGTTCTTGCCCAGGACTCCGTCACCACTCTTGTTCAAGGAAAATCACAGAAGGTCCTTGTTTGAGACTCAGCTCCTGCATAGGGCCAGCAGATCGAAACAGAACCACCCTTACTACGCTCAGTGACATCAAAGGGATTGTTAAAGTTACAGAGAGATTGGAGTAACAGCCAAATTGCTAGGCGTGGGGCTAATCCTCCTCCCCACCTCCTAATCATGTCTTCAGATGAGTCAGCTTTACTGAGGGGTGATCGCCAAGGCCGTGCGATTGGCAGGCCCTGTTGGAATAACGTTTAAGAAGGGAATGGGCAATGCTCTAATCTTTAAGGCATAATAAAATCCATGGCTCCACTTCTGGCCGCAGGTAGAACTCAGAGTCCAATCGTTTTTTTTTTTCCCCCTCCTTTGGTGTTTTGAGATAAGGGTTTCTCTGTGCAGCCCTGGCTGTCCTGGAACTCAGAGATCCACCTGTTTCTGTCTCCTGAGTGCTGGGATTAAAGGCATGTGCCACCATGCCTGGCTCCAGATTCCAACCTTTTAATCAAAAGAATGCAGCTCTTCTTCAAGGGGCCTAAACAAAAACCTGCTGCCCTCATCTTTGTCTTAGGGTATTTTAAATTTTAAGGAAGGACAACTGTGATTCGTCCCTTTCTTTAAACTGGTGTAACCAGGGAAACGGGAGTGGGGTCCAACGCTGATCATGAAGGAGGAGTCCATCCTCATGGCCTGCAAGCCTGCTGATGCTTCTCTGGTGAGCTAACAAAACGTCCCGAACAGGCCAGTTTCACTCAGTGTGAGGATCCCTCTCTTGTTTGACTCAGGACTGTGACCTCTTCCCGTTTCAGCCCTTACAACAGACAACCGTGTTACCCAGTTTTCCTCCCCTACCACACAGTACAGGAAAGTAGATCTGAAATGGACAGTCTGGTATGTTCTGTGCGCTTCTGCCCTTTTCCACCTGAAAGCCAACCTCTGCTCAGCTCAGAACACCGCCGTTTCATACAAGACAGTGGTGCCTGGTTCTAGAACCTCAGAGACGATGGAGTTCTTTACATGGGCTGTAATTGTGTCTTCTTGACTCGGCCTGCCCGCCCCTGCCCCTGCCCCCGCCCCCCCCCCCCATGATGTGGAATTACATCGTGATCCTTGCCGGGCTTTTCTCCCCCAGACGGATTCTCTAGGTCTTGGGCGGGGCAAACTCCAAAGCCTCTGCAGAGACGGAAACACCAGGGCACATCGTCTTCAGCTTGCTAGATGGGTCGGCTCCTGTCTGTGGAGCAGTGAGGATGATGAAGAGTGAGGATGAGGATGGAGAATGGGAGCAGCCAAGGAAAGACCGTTCCAGTAGCTTATTAACCTCTGAGTCCCTGAGAGTGCTCCCGGCACTCACTGGTGACATTTCACTTTCATCCTGACAGGTGTGTTAGGCCAGAGTGTCATTACAAAGTTTTTATTGAGGAGGAGGAGGAGGAGGAGGAGGAGCTAAAGGTCACCCCACACCCCATCCCGCCCCGGGGAAATCTCCTGGTGGCCGCTCCCTAGCTTTTATTTCTAACAGCAATTCTCACACTCCTAAGCACACCCCCCCCCCCCCAAGTCTTGCTTCTAAGATTGGCTTGCATGCTCGTCAGAACCTGTAAAGATGAAAGAGGGACTTGAGGAAAAGGATTCCGTAGAGTGGGAGGGAGAAGGAGAGGATAAAGGGTAGGGATATGATCGACGTATGAGGTGAACATACAATCGCGCGCGCGTGCGCACGTGTGTATGTGTGTGTGTGTGTGTGTGTAGACATGAAATTGTGAAAGAATAATGATTCTTACCTAGTATTACTATTATGCATGTGGTAATCAGAGGACAACTCTGTGGAGTTGGTTCTCCACCTTTACATAGGGTCCCAGGTTTACCCACAGAGCCATCTCTAAGGTCCCAAATAATAAACCTTAAAAAGCAGTGTTTGTTCAACATCTGCCTTATAAACCAATGAAATCAAGGATGGCGATGCGATTCCACACCCCCCAGGGGCAGGGGCAGTGGTAGGGAGGTGTCGAGACAACACTACATCCGCTGCCCAGGGAGGGGACCGGCTTGGAGGCTCCAAGTGACTTCACGGATGCACTCAGCCAAGCCGATGCCTCCCTCTCGTGCGCCTGGGATGCGCTTAGGTCCCGAGAGACACCCCCCCCAAATCCGCGTTCTTTCATTCATACAGCGCGAGGTTTATTTTCACTTCTTGCTCTCGTTTACAAAGCCTAAGGGACCCGAGGCCGCTGCGCGCGCTGGCGAGGCCGGCCGGGGCGCCCCTAGTCGGCGGCCGCCCGCTGCTTGCGGTCCAGCACCAGCAGCGGGATCTCCTCCAGGCCCTCGGGTCGCTCCCCTCGCCGCAGGTAGCGGCGGCGCCACGTCGCCAGCCTCTGCAGCAGCCTCTGCAGCCCGGGCGGCCCCCACACGCCGCGCTCCGGGGCCGCCGCGCCGGGCCGCGCGAACTTGCCCTTCCTCCGGCGCGCCCCGCGGGCCCCGCGCGCGAACAGCCGCCGCCAGCACCAGAAGCCCGAGCCCGAGCCGCCGTCGCCCGTCGCCCTGCGCGCCGCCACCTCCGGCTCCGCGTGCCGCGCGCCCCGCTGCAGGCGCGCCACCTTCTCCAGCAGCTCGTGCTGCACGCCACCGCGCCGCGGCCCCCGCGCCTCCGCCATGGGCCGGCCCGGAGCCGTCGATTTGGGGGGAAGTCACCGGCTGGCGCAGCCCTGCGGTGGCCTCCAGGACACCAAAGGACCCGCGTCCCTCCGCAGCCTTCGGGGGACTGTGTGCCCTGCAGCCCGTCCCCTCCGGTTAGGTTGCCAAGGAAACGTGGAGGGTGACTCCACAATGCCAGCCTAGCTCTGGAGGATGCCCCAGCGTCCAGAGACCACCCCCCCCCCCCCAAGCATCCTGAGGTCCAGGAGTCAGGGTGCCAAAGCCAGGCACAGTGGCACCGTGTGTAATCCCAGCACTCAGAGGTTCGAGGTCAGCCTGGGACATCGTGAGCTCCTATCTCAACCAAAAGAAGTAGGGGTAGGAGGGTGCGGGGACTGAGCCCTTTCCTTAGGGAGTGACTTCAGACAGGATGAGAAAGGATCTTGAAGGTCCTGAGGTCCTACTCTGCCTCGCAACTAAGCAACACTGGACAAGGTTCTGGGTGTCAAGCTGCGCTGGCCGGCAGATTTAGGCCTTATGGATGGTTTGTTGATATACTATAGAATACATATATAATCTAGCATATGCTTGGCAAAAAAACAAATGTGAATGTTACTATATAATCCTCACAGGAAACGATTCCCAGGTGAAGAGTCCCGTTTTTGCTGATTGAGAAAACTGAAACAGAGGAGGGGTAAAACCATCCACTTGGGATAATAGCACCTGTAGGTGAAGGGGTTCAGAACATGTCATCCCAAAATCGGTCTCTTGGGCGAGTTGAATGCTTAGAACCAGCTACTCGGGAGAGCCTCTTTAACTTTGCCTCGGTTGCCCGAGATGAAGCATGAACCTCTCACTTTGTGGCATAAGCTGATAATCAGGCCACTTTCTCTAAGGCAGGCAAAGCCTCCTAGAGACACCCTCCCCGACCCCACCCACTGCTGTAAGGACCAAAATGAACACCGCCTAAATCAGAGTGCAAAATGAAAGCACTTTAAGGTTTTGAAAGTGAAAAAGTGACTGTGTATGGTGAGACGCATCTCTAATCCCCGGCTCCAGAGGCTAAGGCAGGAGAATCATGAATTCACAGCCACCCAGGGCTACACAGCAAGACTCTGCCCAAAACAGGAGAAAACTAAGTGTGAACAAGTGAGAACATAGACTGTAAAAACATCCACCTTTGGAAATGCGGCAGGTGTGGTGGACATGCCACCCACCACCAAAAGCCCCACGCCCTGTTCCTTCCAGCCCTCCAGGCCCTTCCTGGAGTCACTATTTCTGTGTGACTCAGGTACAAACGTAATTAAAATAGTTTTTCTCCTGTTGGTCTGTCGTGTGTCAATTTAACTCAGAGATCGGCTAGGAACCCCACGGCTGGAAGCAATTTCTCCTCGGCGTGAAGGAGCTCTGACTTCCACCCCCCATTTCTGTGCTTGCTGCCACTCCTTCAGCTGTTCTCGCCCCCTTTAACGTCTTCCAGCACACCTGCCCCCCCCCCCCCCAGATGCTGTGGAAGTCGTCCCATGGTCCAAAAACGAACTAAGACGATAAGGAAGAAGCTGGAGTTGTTCATCCCTTTCAAGAGCAAACCCAAGACCTCCCACCAGGCCCCACCACCTCCCAACACTGCAGTTGAGGTGGGTGGGGAGCATCCAAACCATGGGTATAACTAGTCTTTCTCTGTCCCGTCAGCCAGCCCCCAAAAAACGACACGGAGACTTATTATTAATTACGAAAGCTCAGCTGGGCGGTGGTGGCGCACGCCTTTAATCCCAGCACTCGGGAGGCAGAGGCAGGCAGATCTCTGTGAGTTCGAGGCCAGCCTGGACTACCAAGTGAGTTCCAGGAAAGGCGCAAAGCTACACAGAGAAACCTGTCTCGAAAAACTGTCTCAAAAAACCAAAAAAAAAAAACCGAAAGCTCGGCCTTAGCTTAGGCTTGTCCCACTAGCTCTTACAATTTAAATTAACCTGCTTTTATTAATCTACGTTTACTATGTGGCTTTCTTTCTTTCTTTCTTTTTTTTGTTTGTTTTCAAGACAGGGTTTCTTTGTGTAGCTTTGGAGCCTGTCCTGGAACTCACTCTGTAGACCAGGCTGGCCTCAAACTCACAGAGATCCACCTGCCCCTGCCTCCAGAGTGCTGGGATTAAAGGCGTGCGCCACCACCGCCACCACCACCACCCAGCCTATGTGGCTTTTTACCTTTTGCTTATTCTGTATGTCTGATTCCCTCTATGTCTCTTGGCATCTCCTCTGTGCCTCAGTTATCTCTTCTACTTCCTTTCTCTCTGCCCAGAAGTCTTACCTATACCTCCTGCCTATCTATTGGTCATTCAGTTCTTTATAAAAACCAATCACAGCAAATTTCCTTTAAGAAAGAAAAGCAGTCGCCGGGTGGCGGTGGTGGTGCACGCCTTTAATCCCAGCACTCAGAAGGCAAAGCCAGGCGAATCTTTGTGAGTTCGAGGCCAGCCTGGTCTACAAAGTGAGATCCAGGAAAGGCGCAAAGCTACACAGAGAAACCCTGTCTCAAAAAACAAAAAGAAAGAAAGAAAGAAAGAAAGAAAGAAAGAAAGAAAGAAAGAAAGAAAGAAAGAGAGAAAGAGAGAAAGAGAGAAAGAGAGAAAGAAAGAAAGAAGGAAAGAAGGAAAGAAGGAAAGAAAAGCAGTGTATATTATTCTCTCTCTCTCTCTCTCTCTCTCTCTCTCTCTCTCTCTCTCTCTCCCCCTCCCTCCCTCCCTCCCTCCCTCTCCCTCTCTTTGCTGTTTTTTGTTTTGGTTTGGTTTGTTTTGGGGGACAGGATTCCTCTGTGTAGTCCTGGCTGTCCTGGAACTTACTCTGTAGACCAGGCTGACCTTGAACTCACAGAGATCCCCCTGCAACAGAAGAGTAACCACACAGACGTGACTGCTGGATATAGTCTTGAGTGTCTTGACGTCCTTCCCCAGAAGCCTGTCTCGTCCCTGCGAGTCCCTCATGGGCAGTTCTGTTCTCCCCTCTCTGTGTTCCTTTGTGTGGTCAGATCAGAGATGCCGGTCCAGTCCATGTCTGTACTTCACAGAAGAATCTCTGAGCTGGTCACAGCTCTGTGCATTCCTTCCCAATGACCCGCGCACTACCTGGAGTCTCTGGGAAAGTTCCCTTGTGTATTTTGTTTGGTTCCTACTAGGTTTTCAGCTTACTGAATGCAGTGTCTCAGTCTTGTTAGTCAGGTTTCAGCCTACAGTCCCATGACACTTGGTCTGTTTCCCAGGTGTGCAGTTCACAGGGGGTCTTGGACTGCTGGGGCATCTGCTTCTGCTCTGTGGATTTCCCAGTGCCCAGCACTGAGCATAGAAGAAAGCCCTTTTCCTGGCATCCCCTTCTGATAATGCAGCTGCCGCCCTGGGTATAGCCTTGTCCCAGCTGCTTTGAGTGTCCATAGCTGTTCTGACAGCTGTTTCTCAGCTTGTCCCAGATTCTCGCCTGGAGACTCCGGCAGGCCATGTGTGTCATTGTCTTCTTGAAACCTATGCTGAAGAATTTAAGTAGGAAACCCTGGAAAGTCTGGAAAGGGAAGGCACGAATACAGGAAACCAGCCTGCACACTGTTGACTGTTAGAGGTGGAGTGGTAGATATCCTATGCATAGGATATCCATAGTCACTATTGTTATACGTATTTGGAAATGCTTTTCTTTTTATTTATTTTTGATATGAGATCTCTCTACATAGCTCTGGCTGTCCAGGAACTCACTATGTAGACCAGGCTGGCCTTGAACTCACAGAGATTTGCCTGTCTCTGTCTCCCCAGTGCTGGGATTAAAGGTGTGCAGCACCATGCCTTCCCTTTAAAGGTTCTTGTGCCTTGGGGAGCCCAGTTCTGTCTGCAGCAAAGAAATTCTACAGACCTATCAGAGCCCTCAGGGGAGGGAGATGGAGTTTGGCTTATGTCCAACTCACTCTTCCTCTTCAAGGAGGGTCAGGCCTCAGAGGTCACATTGCAATTTATAATTTTCATTGCATTTATTTCCCACACACATACATACCGCAGTGTCCTTAGGGGTCAAAGGACAACTTCTTCCACCATGTGGGTCCCAAGGATTGAGCTCAAGTCATCAGGCTTGGCAGAAAGTGCCACCACTGGGCCATCTTGCCAGCCCATCAGCTGTCATACTAAATGACCTACTCCCACCCAGGCCAAAGAAATGAAACAGAAAAGGTCTTCTTACAGAAAACGAGAATTAGACCAGAGATTCTAGCTAGGTAGGTGGGGGCACAAGACCTGGGAGGTCATGTTGATTCAGAGAGGGGACATCACTGTAACTACTGTTACACCCAAGCTTTGCAGAAATGGAGGTATTTAGAAGAAAGCAGAAACATATCCATATTTATATAAATATGTACATGATCCCATCTGGACAACAGTAGCAAGCTTCTCAGCAGAGACAGACAGACAGACAGACAGACAGACACACACACACACACACACACACACACACACACACACACACACACACATCACGCTGTAATAGCATCTCGTCTTCATCATGTCTGAATCCCTTTCAGGCAAGAACATGCATTCTTTTTGGTGGAACAGATAATGTAACACAGCTTGTTAGGGTCATACAGTGATGGACAAGGAAATTTAACAGAAATTTAAATCTCTCAGAACCAAAGTCAGCTTATACCTATGGATGAGAGAGAACCACTCCCTCTCTTCAGTCTGTTACATAGTCAGCTCTTTATGTCTATGGTGTCCTTGCTATGGAGTCAACCAACTCTAGACTGATCTATATCATATATAATTTTATACACACACACACACACACACACACACACACACACACACACACACATATATATATATATTGTCTGTGCTAAATATGCACAGCCTTCCCTAAATAAATTATTATAATGATTTGGGTAGCAAACACCTTACTGGTATCATAAATAACCCAAAAGCGATTTAAAGTACATGGGAGAATTGAATAGATTGTAGGCAAATAAGAGACACCATTTTACACGTGACTTTAGGATTCACAGACTCTGGCTGATATGCAGAGGGGTCCTGGAACCAATCCCCCATGGGTATCGAGGGACGACTGACTAGTGTGAGTCACTGAGACAACGTGAGTTAAAATGCCTCATGGTGCTAAGTGCTAAGCGTCCCTCTACCAGAAAGATTTGGTGGGTCGTCAGAACAGCAGCACCCGGCAGAAAATTGCCCTTCCTAGAACTCACAGTACCCGAAAGACCTTCTAAATTACTGTACTTTCACCTAATGAATGCTATTTCCATCTCTATTTTTAGCATTACATTCCTACAAAAGCATTTTCAAGAACAGAAAAACACATTGTCTTAGAATCTATTAAGCGTGACCTACTCTCCTGGCATGTCAGAGACAAAACAGTGTCATTTCTCAGATTGCCCCTTTTTTAATACAGAATTTCTGGGAAGCAATCAATCCAAATGGATTTTCAAATGATCTATTTGTTTATTTTGAGATTGGGGTCTCCTGTAGATCCAAACTGACCTTGAACAAGACCTTGAATTTGCATGACCCGCCTGCCTCCACCTCCTGAGTGCTAGGATGATAGCGCACCACCAAGCTTGGTTTACAAGGTGTTGGATATTGAACCCAGGGCCACTTGTGTGCCAGGCAAGTGCTCCGTGAATTTAGCCACATCCCTGCCCCAGGCTTTACTTCTTCTTTTTTTTTTTTTTTTTTCGTTTTTCGAGACAGGGTTTCTCTGTGTAGCTTTGCGCCTTTCCTGGGACTCGCTTGGTAGCCCAGGCTGGCCTCGAACTCACAGAGATCCGCCTGGCTCTGCCTCCCGAGTGCTGGGATTAAAGGCGTGCGCCACCACCGCCCGGCCCAGGCTTGACTTCTTTAGAGTAGATGTCTTAACACTTTGTAACTGGAACATTCCACAGTGTGTGAATTAAGTCATTAACACTTCGTCTTTCATCAAGCATGAAGCTGTTGAAAATGCTGAAGATGCTGAAAAAATAGGATTTGGTTTTCCTAGACATCCAAATTTAAAAAGCACGGGAGGATCAAGTTTGCAACAAAGTATTAAGTTGGCAGCTTAGATTTCTACAGGGAAAGCAGGACATTTGCGTTCCTATTTCCATGTAAGTGATAGGATCCCTTTTTACAGGAAACAATTCCCCTTAAACTCAGGGAGGCCCAGGCTCCACTCTGGCAATATCAGCACAGATATAGTCTGTGAGGTGTCAAGATTTAGGAAAATGAAAATCCCACTCAGAAGGTTAACTGGGAAGCAAAAGGAGGAGATGAGTTAAGTCAGCTTCTTATACTGTAACAAAACACCCAAGACAAATCAGCTTACAAAGAGGAAAGGTCTATTTCAGTTCATAGCTTT